AAATTGAGCTGTTGCAGAGAACATCACTTCATGCAGATATGTAAATAAGTCAATATTACTCTGTGGTGCATTTTTAATCACGCAAAATAAGGAGAATAGACTCATTATTATAATCTACCACTCACGAATCTCATTAAACATAAGGTAATTTCAAAGACTTGAGAAAATTTTGAAACCTTTTTTCCCCCTAAAGATACAAATAGAGTAGAGGGATTCAGCTTTTTCCTATTTCCTCAAAGTACTACATGAGAGGCAATTTAACAGTCAGTAAATAATTAACAAAATTAATGTAAATTGCTTTCTTTTTAAAATCCACCTCCCTACCCCCAAACTTAAATATCAATTGTAACAGTGAGAAATGATTGTGTGTTTTCTTCTCTAACTCAAGGGGATAATGAATTCTCCTGTGTAGCAGAGGTGACTGGGTGGGTTATTGCCAGCTGAAGTTAAATGCTATGACTTGCCTGAGACATAGAACTCTTTAACCCTGCATCTGCTTTATCTTTATCTATAGCAAACTTTTCACTCTTTAAAATCAATTAAATTCTCAATATTACATTAGACAAGGAACTCCAAGGCTCTCAACAGATGTTAAAGGATTGATGCCAGTCCCATTGAATGCCTGGTGTGGCATAATGAGACTTACTCTGCAATATGCTGCTTGCTTTGTGGCATTTTTGTCTGCAGGTTTCCTGATTGTGGCAACCTGGACCGATTGCTGGATGGAGAATGCAGATGACTCGTTGGAGGTGAGAGATTTTATAATTCACAATTTAATAATAGTACCACCTATAATATTAATCATAGAATTGCCTAATATGTTGCATCTTTGGTGTACATATTTTTGATTAGTACCACACTTCACTTATTAAGCTATGGGTATTGAAAGAAAAATAGTACACGTGATAATCAATGGGAACAATATAAATCAAGAAGCCTCTCGGATGGAAGCCCAAATGATTCCTCAGTGTAACTCAACTCTTGTTGAGAAAGTGAACTTGAGTTTTTGTTACCGTAACTGTAGGATGCTGTTAGTCCAATTTTATTAGTTAGGTTTATAGTTACAAATGTTGTATTCCTCTTGAACGTTTGATTGTACGGTATTTTATTCTATTTTTTGATAAATCATTTTTGGAACTAGGCATAGACACTGTTAAGCTGTAGTCTTTATTACCTTGTGTCTAGTTTTTTTTATTAAACAGTGCAAGGTCTTGACATATTTAACACAATAAATTCCGCAACTGACGTATGTTTTTCTGACTAATTTATCCTACCGACCAGATGCAGCAAGCTACGTTCACTTTTGTTTACTCAAAAAATTGGTTATATGAATATATGGAGTTGCCCACTTTTCCTCATGGCTTACTTCATACACACCTTAGGTTGCAGTTATACATTCTCCAGGGTGATAGTGGATTGACCACATTAATAAATGCTATTAATAAAATGGTTATACATTACTGCTTACATACCAGGTAAATAGAATAACTGTTATTCTAATATAATATCATGATAATACATTATAAGTATAACTTGGTAAATTAAAAAATATATTAAAAAAAATAGGAATGTTGCATTGTATGCAGTTTGGGTGTAAGATATGACTATAATCGGTTAAAACAATATAATTTCATTCTAAGTGTATAAATGTTGTATATTTGATACAATCTGTAGGACCTGTAAGTGTGTCATATCATTGGATTGGCTATATATATGTATTTGTTACAAAAAAAGAAAACACTCTTGGGACTTCAAAATAGTTTTTTGAATGTTGCTTTAATCACATAAGGCAACACATTAATGTGTCTGCCAACGTTTCAATCCACACTTGGAAGACCAAATGTAGACTAAAACATAGACAGATTCATAAATATGTTGCCTTATGTGATCAAGGCAACATGCAAAAAATATTTTTAAGTCCAGTCTCAAGAGTGTTCTTTTGTTTTTCAAACAATTGTATAGAGGCTAATGCACCTGGGCTAATCTAAACATGGAGACGAAAAGAGAGCTGGATTTTTGCAATATTATATTTATATATAGATATAGTTTGCAAAGACCCAGCATTGGGGTTTCTCAACAAAATCTCTGTGCTACTCGATGCGACACCCACACATGAATTTGCAAAAAATTGAGCACTTACAGAGAGAAAAACTTAATTTATAAAATGTATAAAAGAGTTGGAGAATTTTTCAAACTGGCTATTTTGACCCTACATTTGAAACTCCAGACAATCCCAAGTCAATAACCTTGACTGACCCAACAGAAGGGGAAGAGGTCTAGGGGAGGGTGATTACTATGAACAAAAGGCAAACATGCAATATATTAAATTAATGGAAAAGGGGTATATTGGGTGTGTAAAAAGAAGAATTAGTGGTAGGAAAACAGAAGTGATTGTGTCACTTCATAGCTCACTTGTTGGACTTCATTTAAACATGTGTGTCCAGAGTTAGAAAAATTAAATAAAAATATAGATGTATTGAATATACTTCCACAAGAAGTGGCATGGTTAATATAGTGTAAGAGATCAAGAGAGTTTGAGAAATTCCAATGTGTGGAATGCGTAATTTGTAGTTATGGTCTCTCTCTCTCTTTATAACAAAAGTGCCAGTTCCTGCAATGTGCTTTTTTTTATCCTTCTTTTAATCATAATGAGGGTAACTTTGGAGACACTCACTTTAATAGACTCATTTTTCTTTTTCAAACACAGAATATATAGAATACATTAGTCAAACTCTGAGTTGTTTCCTGGCACACATTCAAAGTAATGCATTACATTTATGTAAGGATGTGTTTAAAATGTAAATTATTCTACAAAGAATGTATATGAAACTTTAATGATAGTTTTCACCAGTTGTCTGGTGAAAGAATCATTGGATTACTACTGTTGGTAAGTAAATTAAACACAAACTGCCATGCTTGTTATAAGTCACAGACAGACAGATAGATAGATAAAGAGATAGATAGTAGAGTTGAGCGAACCATATCACAGTATGTTCGGGTTGGAGTTCAGTGTTCGGTGATTTAATGGCGCGTTTTCAAAGGCTGCAGGGCAGCCAATCAACAAGCATTTGACTCGTGTGCCCTTAGAAGCCATCACAGCAATGTCTACTAATGGCATGGCTGTGATTGGCTAGCGCAGCATGTGACCCAGCCTCTATATATAAGCTGGAGTCGCGTAGCGCCGCACGCACATCAGGTCTTATTAGTGTAGGGAAAGGATGCTGCCGCTTATAGGGACAGCTTAGGAAAGAATTCTGCAAACTAGTACATTAGTGGGGTGGGGTGCACTTCATATCTGAGAGTCAAATAGAAGCTTCAAATACCGTGGTTACATCGGAGTTTTAAAAAGTAAAAATTTTTGGGTGCTAAATAGTACATTAGTGGGATAATACATTAGTGGGGTGCACTTCATATCTGAAAGTCAAATAGAAGCGTCTAATAGTGTGCTTACAGCGCAGTGGTAAACATTCTTATTTTCTGGGTGCTAATCTGCTAAATAGTACATTTTGGGGCCTGCTCTTCATATCTACAAGTCATGCTACAACAAAATTAAACAAGTTTTAAAATATGTATGGGCCAACCAGTGGCTGTAGAAACAAAGTTTTACTGGTTACATTCATGACTACATACTCTAGTGAACAGGACTTTCATGTAGTGTGTTCTTTTTTTTTTAAATCATACAGCATCCTTTCATGTGCTTTTCAGATGTCATATTGTGAATTACCAATTTTTGTGTAGCCTGATTTATTTATTATTTTTATGGGAAAAATAAGTATTATTGTGATAGCTTCATATACAGAAGCATTAATATACATTTCAATATTGTGTAAAGAAACAACTACAAAGTTAAAAACCAAACACCAAAACAACGTGCCAGACAATTTACCTGTGCATGGCTAGTGTGATACAATAAGTCTACATCTTAAAAATGCAATAACACACAGAAGATGGGCGAGAATTTTTTTTGCAAATGGAACTTTGATTCGAATTTACTACATCGTCACTTGTAATATTGTTTCACACCTACAACACTTGTTACACAGATCTAAGTGATAGAAAACAGATTGATATTTTCTACACTAGAAACTACCAGATAACAAGCTGCTATATTTAAACCAGTTATCAATAGCTAAGAGGTACTTAAACAATATTGTAATTCTGGGGCAATACTCTCACAAGTCAAACTGAGTGGTCAGTTTATAGGGAAAACTGTTGCCTGGATACAATTCTAAAACAATTTCCATATGTCCTTTGCAGACTTTACATGCTGGAAAAACACAGGTGCCAACTGCTGTGGCTTTCTGCAGTGTGCAGACCGGCAAGGAGGGCAAGGTTGAGGATTGGGTAGAAGATGATGTGGAGGATGATGAGGTCCTCGACCCCACATGGAATCAAGGTCATGCGAGTGACGTGTGCAGTTTGGAGGAAGAGGCGCTGGTCGCACAGAGGCACCAGCACAGCATAAGAGGGAGCAGGGTGCAAAAGTGGGGCAGCCGTCCCCTAGTGCTCGTCGACATGTATTAGCTCGAGAATTACCAGTTATCTAAGTAATACATGTAGCGATCAAAGGATTCATAATAGAGTTGAGCGAATCCGGTGGGCACAGTCAGGGGGGCAGTCCGGTGACCAGGACCCAGACACTGTCTGGGCGGCTGTCGGACGACTGGGACCCAGTATGCCTGATGTTGAAGTTAGGAGTCACAGTGTGGAATGGATAAGTAGGGTTTGGTGCAGGGTAACCGCACCCCTCCTGGTGTTGAGCACCAGTGTTTGTGCAGCCACATACCAAGATCCTGATGCAGCTTCACTAAAAAGAGTACTGGATACCAGAAGCCATCACCACACTGATCCGCAACTTGGAACAAGATGTGATATTCACTGTAGCGGCTGTGCGCGCTTTTGGCTTTCTCACCCTGCTGCTGCTCACCTGTCTGCGCTGCAGCGTAACTTCGGCCTTCCTGCTCTCGCCTCATGAGACTGTGCGAGCAGCAGCAGGCGATAGTGGAGTTTCAGCTGCAGCACGCACGGGTCAGTGGCTCTGCACCAGACTTCCCTCCAATTGATCAGAGTTACAGGATTTCAAGTGGACTCATTACAATTACAGGGCCTCTAAAGAGTCCTGTATTGTTATTTGTCGTCACTACCTTCCCGCGTCTGGAGTGGGTCATTTGCGCACCTGCTGCCTTCCTTGCATGTGGTAGCCATTTCTCAGGGTCCCTGTACGGAATGGAACCCTAATTCCCTGTTACCCGTGGTCACCATGGTAGGCGCAGAAACTGGCATCAAAAGTTGATATGGATGAAATCCAAAAGTCGCTGTCACAGGGATGTGCGATTGGCCCGAGGTTCTCTAGAGTCAACAAAGTGCCTGCGCAACTATAATGTCAACAGCTACTCTGTGGAACAGAGTTGTCTTTTTTATATGTCCCAATATTTTGGGGGCTACCCCAATTAAAAAATAAATAAATTATATATATATATATATATATATATATAAAAAACAGTGTTGGCTACCTCATCCTCCTCCTCCACCGCCTCTTCAACCTGCACCGCCACGATCACCGTCTCCTCAACCTATGGGTCACTTAGTATAAACTATGTACACAATAGCAGAGGCTTGTGAAAGCCTTTTCTCCATGCATCAGGAGCTGAGCATTTCTCCATCCATCAGGACTACAAGAAATGCACCGCAGGCCGCAAATGTATCTTTTTTTATATGTCCCAATATTTTGTGGGCTACCACAATTAAAAAAACCCCATAAAAAACAGTGTTGGCTACCTCATCCTCCTCCTCCACCGCTGCTTCCACCTACACCGCCACGGTCACCGCCTCCTCAACCTATGGGTCACTTAGTATAAACTATGTACACAATTACAGAGGCTTGTGAAGGCCTTTTCTCCATGCATCAGGAGTTGAGCTCAGTTTGAACAATGAAAGAGAATACCATGCAGTCCAACCCTCTCTCAAATGGATACTTCTGGTGATCCTCTTGACAGCCATGGTTTAGATTTTGATTTTATGTTCTTCCAAAGCTAAAATCAAAGATTCCATCTAGTGCTATTTTATGGCTCAGCTGTATTTATAATTTGTATGTTATTTTAAGTGATTTCCCTATCCAAATTTTTTTGCAAGGCACTTGTCCTACTCCTACCCCCATTTTACTTCCTTTTGCAGCTCTCTTGCCCTTTCCAGGAGTTTTTTTAGAGGCATTTTTGTGGCCAAAAGTCCGGTTCCCCATTGACTTCAATTGGATTCGGGTTCGGGGTCAAGTTCGAGCCCGAACCCGGACTTTTTTTCAAAGTTCGGCCGAACCCGCTGGACCCGAACATCCAGGTGTCTGCTCAACTCTACTAGATAGATATAGTCCATATATGTATATATACTTTTTTTTAACTGGACTACCAATATTAAAACTCAAACTTTTTGAAAGCTTATCTTTTAAAATGGATTGATAATCCAATAAACAACTAATACAGCTAAATTGGATATATATATTAAATATATATTAAAACAAGTTATTGACTAAAACCCGCCATGAAGACTGAAACGTTGATATAGTCTATACATGTCTCTACCATCTGCACTGCATTAAGACACCAAGCTGTTTTGACCTTTCTGAGCCATCAGTGCTTATTTTCTTCATGTGTGGACGTGGGGCAAGGATTTGTTTGGGCCATCGATTTCTAAGAAATGCTAGTATGAAAAAAGGTGCTGTAGGTACAGTGATCTCCATGCTATCATGGGCAGCACGTGTTCTGTTGAATTGGCTTCACCTGAGAAAGTGGTGACAATTCCAGTGTGTCACATGCACAAACTGAGTCTAAATAAAGATGTATAATTCTATTGAAATGTATATCCAGCCACTCACAGGTAAAGCACAGAAATAAACGTTTTCTAACTTGTTATCATAGCAACCATACCTTGCCGTGAAAAATGGCTCACCCTCAGCACGTGTACTTCGCCCTGTGGTTGACCATAGCAGGAGATAGCAAAAGTAAAGGCAATGTATTAAAATGTGATTTTGTGTTATGTCATATACACATCTATGTACATTTTCAGGTGAATTTCTGGTATGTTAATTGTTAATTTAAATGACACATGCACTTTACTCTAATAACAAATAATTTTATGTTTACACCACCAAGTGTCTGTCCTTTAATTTCTACACAGATTGATATAATGTAACATGCTTTGATAAGTGCTTTAGGGTTTCAATCTAGTGCCATATATGTATTTTCCTATGCATTGAACGTAAAGGGCATTAGAATAGCTTTTGTTAACATCTTTGCATGACAAGATGTTAGTGTTAAGTTCAGTGGGTTAGTGGCAGCAAGTAATACATAGTAACAAGCCTCAAAAGCAGTTGGAAATCAGTTACTAAGCAGCAATTAGCAACTCCGAAAAGGAATAACAGGAGTCCTTAGAAGCTGCTTAACGACTGGCTTTAAGTAGCAGGCGCCTGTTACTCCCTGCCCATACTGGTGAAAGTATGCAGTTGGTAAACAGCCCAGACTCGATAACAGTATCAATGGGCATTTTAGCCTGTAGTGGCTGGCTGGTAAAAAGTAGTGACAAGATTGGAAACAAGCCCTTAATCTTTTTCTGCAATGCCCTTTTTGTTGTTAAAACTACTTTAACCATATTCACTCCTTTCCCTTAGCAAGGTTCTGGTATAACTTTTGGCCAGCCCTTTGATTAATTAATAAAACTACATTCTGATAGCACATTGGACATCTAAAAATGCACAGGGCATTCCATGCTAACTAACTTACTCTCTCTATTTTTTTTCTTGGGCAATTGCATTGTTACACATTTTGCTCATTTTGCAAGAATGCCATTGTCAATCTTCTTTGATAGCAATATACCGGCAAACATAAAAGAAAATAAGTGTGCCAATGAGAAAATAAACAAATTCTCATGAACTACACACTCTGCACTTTTCAACTTTTATTGCATGTTATTAAATAAAAAATCTTTAAAAATAAATAAATAATGATAATAAACATTTTATATATTAAATACAATTTTCAAATCTTATATTTTAAATCTTCATTATATACATATAATATATATTATATATAATATTTAATAACTGTGTGTATATATATATCTTCATCAAGAACTCGATGGGCAAGTGGAAAACAACTCTGGAAGCCAATTCCAGGGCAATAACTGAAGTGAACATTAAATGTGGTAGATACCAAGGTGATGCGCTATCTCCAATGCTGTTCTGCATAGGCCTCAACCACTTTAGCCAAATCATCAAAAAGAGTGGATACGGATACAAGTGGAGCTACCGTAAGCCACCTACTCTACATGGACAACATCAAGCTGTATGCCAAGAATGAGCGAGACATTGACTCACTGATCCCCCTAACTAGGAAATACAGCAAGGACATCGGAATGTCGTTCGGACTAGAGAAGTGTGGGCAGATGATAGCACAAAGAGGGACGATGATCAGGACAGAGGGAGTTGAAGTTCCAGAAGGTCAAATAGATGATGTAGAGAACAGCTACAAGTACCTGGGGGTACCACAAACGCCTGGCAACCATGAGGAAGAGGCAAGGAGGATAGCAACATCCAAGTACCTCCAAAGAGTCAGACAGGTTCTGAAGTCCCAGCTCAATGGCAAGAACAAGATCCAAGCCATCAACACATATGCCCTACCAGTCATCAGGTACCCAGCTGGAATAATAACCTGGCCAAGAGAAAAACTGGTCATCATGGATGTCAAGATCAAACATCTACTCACTATGGATGAAGGATTCCACCCGAAATCCAGCACCCGGAGACTGTACACCTGCCAGAAGGAAGAAGGTCTGGGCCTGGTGAGTGTCAAGGCCACAGTCCTGGATGAAACACAGATCATCAACAAGTACATCACGAAGATGGCTCCCATAGATGAACTGCTAAGGGAATGCCTGAGACTTCCACAGATCGAGGATACAGAAAAAGAGGAGCAAACCTCTCAATGGGGTGTACCACCGGCAGATAGTGGATGTGGCTCACATGACAAAATCCTACTAGTGGTTGGAAAAGGCAGGACTGAAAGACAGCACTGAGGCACTAATTCTAGCAGCACAGGAGCAGGCACACAGCACGAGATCAATAGAAGCTGGAGTCTACCACACCAGGCAAGACCCAAGGTGCAGACTGTGCAAAGAGGCCTCTGAGACAGTCCAGCACCTAGTAGCTGGATGCAAGATGTTAGCAGGAACAGCATACACGGAGAGACACAATCAAGTTGCTTGGATTGTGTACAGAAACATCTGCACAGATTATGGATTGGACCTGCCTAAATCCAGATGAGAGATACCACAAAGGGTAGTTGAGAATAATAGGGGACTTCAAGATCCAGACAGACAAGCAAGTGCTGGCCAACCAACCAGACATCATGGTGGTAGACAAGGAATGAAAGACTGCAGTCGTGGTGGATACCCAGTGACTAAAACATCAGGAAGAAGGAACATGAGAAGGTGAACAAATACCAAGGACTGAAAGAAGAACTATAATGGATGTGGAAAGTGAAGGCAGTAGAAGTCCCAGTTGTGATAGGAGCACTTGGGGATGTGACTCCCATGTTGGGGGAGTGGCTTCAACAGATTCCAGGTGGAACATCTGAGATCGCTGTCCAGAAGTGTGCAGTTCTAGGAACAGCTAAGATACTGCGCAGAACCCTCAAACTCCAAAGCTTCTGGTAGAGGACCTGAGAATGAGGAATAAACATACCACCCAGGATTGGTGAGAAAATCAAAAAAAAAATAAAAATATATATATATATATTTAAAAGGCTAAATTTGTGGGAGGGGTTTTCCCTATATAAACTCTACCCCCCCAGTTACCTATGCCGTTTTCCTCAATTTCCCAGCTGTAGCCGATTTATGCATGTGGAAGCACTTCCCGGCAGACTGGAATGGCATGTCCATGTTCATTCCACCTGTTTTGGGGATGTTTGGCATCAAGAAACACTTACCTTGCCTTCAGGGAAACTTCAGCCCTTTTTGAGATCTACCCCATTGTAGCAGTTGATTATACTTGGGGTCACCTATGGGCCGGTAAGACAGTCAAGTGTTTCTCAGATAATTTGGCGGCTTGCGAGATCATCAATAAAGGTTGCTCTTCCTCCTTGACCACAAGTCTTTGGGTACAAAAGTTGACGTGGCTGGCCGCAAAACTACAATTCTTCTTGGTGTGCGAACACATTCCGGGAATTCTCAATATGTCAGCTGACTTTTTGTCCCGGTCTAATTTTCAGGCATTCTACAAGGTGCATTCCTTCGCCAATGAGCTCCCATCCCGAATACTGACATTTCCAGAGCTAATCATGGATTAACGGGATTATTGACCCAGGCACTGTCACTCTCACGCAACGCCCAGACAGCCAACACTAAGACAGCATATGATAGGGCATTGACTGTTTTCCGCAAATTTAGTGGGGAGTTTCACGTTTTGGATAATTACACTATCGAGATTATGATGGCTTTTGCCTCTTTTTGTCACTTACATCTCAAA